ATTACAGACGGCCATGGTATATAGCACGCAGGAACAGATAGCCCCAGTTCCAGATCATCTTGGGCTGAGATCCCATATCAAAGAACAAGAGAGAAATCACTAACGGGACACTCTTCCTTCTGCTCAGCTGGACAGGATGTACATTTTAATTTAAAATCTAGCCACAAGCTCTACCAACTGTCTCTGTCACTCTAAGTACCACTCAGGAATTTTACCATACTAATACTCAAGATGTCCTGTAACTTAATCCTACTGGTGCCTTGGGTAGCTGTGAAGGAGACACCCAGAAGGCTGGAGAGATGGCTCAGTGGTTAAGTTCAATTCATAGTGGTTGCAAGCACTGTAAAATCCGGCTCTAGGGGCTAAGACACTCCTCTGACCTGTGGGCATCCACACTCACAGACACAAATACACAGATTTTAAAATAAATTGTTAAAAAAGACAGAAGAAGCCGGGCGGTGGTCCCACACGCCTTTAATTCCCACACTTGGGAGGCAGAGACAGGTGGATCTCATTGAGTTCGAGGCCAGCCTGGTCTACAAGAGCCAGTTCCAGGAGAGGCTCCAAAGCTACAGAGAAACCCTGTCTCAAAATAAATAAGACAGATGAGAAAAACCAAAAATAAAGTTAAGACTCTGCCTTACTTATATAATAAGCACAGACCTGTAGGCTCACTGCTCCTGTACTAGCCAGATTTTAAATGTTGTCAACAGTTAATGGACAAAAATAGTCAGAGGAAATAAAATTTTTACAAACCACTGCAAAATACAGTCTCTTTAAATAAAAAGCAAAGGTACAAGTTAAATAATCTGATTTTTCACTAAAATGAACTCACAATAAGCCCGGCATAATCTGTTGTTTCAGTGAGAGTGTCATGCAGCCACACGAAGTCTTCATGCTGCCTTGTAACAGAAAACTCTGGGCTCTGAAATGTGGGCAGCGTGGTCTGTAAAGAGAAAAAGTGGTTACCCACCATTAGATAGATTCATTCCCTAGGCTTCACAATGGGAGCATCATAAATCAGTATCACAAACCTAGGTAGCTTAACAGTCTTATATCTCTAGGAAATACTCTGCACAAGCCCTTTAGAAGCTTGCTGTGTAGTAAAAGTTCTAGAAAGTTAACAACTTTACAGTTGCAAACAGAACATCAACAGCATTGTCTCTACCACAGTTTACTAAGGCTCTGGAAATTGTCCTTGGCTTCCTTTTCATCTCAGTGATTTACCTCATATGCAAATGAAAAGCAAAAGGGAGAGTTAAAGCTGTGAAAGTGGTTGTGCTACACAGCTGCTTAAGGGCTCCACCCCAGCAGGCAGGAACCAACAGAAGCACAACACATGGAAGCACAACACATGGAGCGGAACTCTCCACAGGCAAGACAGAAGCTCAAGTTCTCAGAAGTTTGCTAACTACCCCTAAAAACAATAACCATTTCAGCTCAAGAAATCTCTTTCCACATTCATCTGAAAAGGCAACCTATAATAGTAGTTACTACTGAGGTTATTCTATCACTTACCTTGGTGTGCACTGTAAATTTGACCTTATCTCTCTCACTGAGAGCATCAGGTATGTCAATCTGAAGCGAAGGGTCAACATTCAGGTCCACAGACACAGATCTGAGCTGAAATACATTTTAATTACCAGTCACATGTTTAGTTCAGAGAGTTATTTCCCACTGGGAGAGGGAAAGCCAGCAAGTGTTCTTTAATGATGTGACCAACGGCCACACCATCCAAAGATCTATAAGGTCTAGAGTAACAGGACATGGTGGTGAACACCTTTAATCCTAGCACTCACAGATCTCTTTGAGTTCAAGACAGCCTGGTCTACATAGTGGACAGCCAAGCTACATGAGACCCTGTTTCCATCCCTTCATTACCAAGTAAAAAAGGGTCTACATTAGCTCAAACTGGCACGGTCAGAGATGTCACTCTCAGGCTAGAGGATCCTGGGTAGAAAGGCCTCTCCATAAATCTAGGAACTGAAACTCTAGCACCACCAAAACAAATGACCCCAATAAAAGCAAACCCTTTCAAGATTCACTAAACCCAGCTGTTTTTCTTTTTCTTCATATCCCTGAAACTGAGTTTGGCATGCCCCACTCCTAAGATCAAACTGGGCCATACAATCTGGACTTGATTCGGGAAAAGAAAAAAAAAATCTCAAAGTTGGGTAAGGGAAGGTGGTTATAGAAGAAGCTGGTGTGTATGAATATATTCAACATATACCGTATGAAATATAATAGTTTTAGAAAACATTTTCAAAAAAAAGTCAGGTACTCAGAAATACACTTAACTACCTAGCAGTGGTAGCACGTGTTTTTAATCCCAGCACTCAGAAGGCAGAGGCAGGTGGACCTCTGTTGAGTTCAAGGCAAGCATGGTCTAAAGGGTGAGTTCCAGGCCAGGGATACAGAGAAACCCTGTCTCGAAAAAACGAAATTTATACAAATACTACCATACCAAAAATATCTGACACCTCAGCATAAGCACCAGTTTGCCCAAATGCACTCTGCTCAGTTTCCTACATGCCCATTTGAGATCCCTGCAGAGTCCACAGCTAAAAAATATGCATTCTTACAGACTACAGAATAAGCTTACTTATAGAACATGAGTTTTCTTCTATAACCAGAGTATATGCCAAGAGGCTGAACACACTTGAAAACCTGAAGTTCAAGGGAATTTTAAAATCATAACTTTGCTTAATTCTGATATTTCTGATAAGCAACCTTCCTTTCCTGTTATTAAGGAGACACAGCCTCCAAAAATTATCAACATATAAACTGCAAAGGCAAGCTGTCATTTCATATTTCATGACTGTTATGGTCAGGTGGGCTTAGGATAGGAATAAAACCAACAGCCAGGTTTCAGAAATGGCAGTACTAGTAAATACACAGGGCAGCCTATCTTTAGGACACTTCTCTTGGGTGTATTTTCTTGAACTCAGCAACAATGTCCATACTTCTGAATAATCACTTCCTTATTCTTTTTTTTTTCTCCTTTGAGACAGTCTCTCTGTGGGGCCCTAGCTGCCCTGTTGAGTAACTGTGTAGATCAGTCTGGCCTTGAACTCAGAGGATCAGCCAGTCTCTGCTTCCCAAAAACTGGGATTAAAGGCAAATGAGCCACCACTGCCTGGCTCATTCCCTTATTTTTAAAGTCACATAATCCAGGTTACTAGAGTTAGTTTGCTATTCAGTGGTTCTCAACCTTCCTGATGCTAACTAATACTCAGTTTCTCGTGCTGGGTAACCCCCAACATAAAATTATTTTGTTCAGGTCATGTTTAGGCAGTCATGCTTCATAGGCACAATAGAATAGGTAGGCAGGAATGTTGATTGCTTCTCTCTTTTGGAAACTTGCAGAGCACTTCTTTGTACCAGGAAAACTCAAAGGTCCTTTCCAGCTCAGAGGATCTCTGGGCCTTGTGTCTTCAGCAGTAGTAGGGACTTACCCTCTACCCCTGGAACAACCAAGGGCAATACCAATAGCCTTATTTTGAGGGAATGTCTTAGATGACTCCGATTAACCTCTCAAAGATGGTAAGCATGCTTTAGAAACCAGGTTTTTCATGCCTGGTGCTGTAGGTTTTGTTAGATTGCCATGGGACTCTTATGGAGTATCCTCAGCCCGGACCCTATGAATCTTCCTTCTAAAGAAAAATTTTTGTGTTTGTGTCTATTGGTCTGTCCTCTTGTTGCTAAGACCAGATCTGATCCCCTGGAACTAGTGTCACAGGCAGAGCTGTTACATGGATGCCGGGAACTTAACTCTGAAAGCAAGTCCTATTCCAGGCTGACTCAGCCCCTTTCCCTGGATCTTGAAGCATGAAAGTACTGCCTATTACTACACAGTATTGGCCAACTATATGCCTAATTTGGGACAAATGCCTTAGGGATAGAGGGGGAGATTCATTTAAATCATAAGTGGGAAGGTAACCATGGTGGTAACATGCTTCAGAATCAAATCCAACCTTGGGCAAGCCAGATTTTTATTATAGTTACCTCTTGCTGAGATCCTTAAAAATATTTGTAGAGCAAATTTAAAACAATATCCACTCTCGCACAAGCTTAATATTTCCCTACCACATCTTTCCCTCAGCAAGTATATTTATCCACTTCACCAGAGTAAAGAAGCATTGTTAAATATCTTTAAGGTGAGGAAGGCCTGGTACTTGCTATGTAGACCTTGAACTCAAGAAGAGACCTGCCGGCCTCCAAGGATTAAAACACTGCTGGTAAAGCTTTAAAAGGGTTGTCTCAGCACTTACAAGGCTGTGGCAAGAGGCCAGCTGATACCAAGTAGCTAGAATGTTTAAGACATGACTTCAAAACCTCAGAACACAGGAGAAACAAAAAATGAGACATCGTAACCAACTGCTTAGGTTGTCAAAGTACTTGCAAGCTCTCCTTTAGACCAGTGCCATACAATCAAAATGCTTTGTCAATCTAGCCCAGCTTTTGTAAAGTGTTAAGAAGTCATACAGCGCCAGGCAGTACGTGTGGATGTGACAGAGGCCAGCCTGATCTGAGCAAGTTCCAGGAGAGCCAGGGCTACACAAAAAACCTTGGGGGAGGGAAAAGGGCCTAGTCATACAGTGTCATTCCCTATTATTTCCATTTTCATTTGATCAATACAAAAAAAGGTAGCACAAAAGAAAAATACTGTTCTTATTTAAATTTTTCTATTTCCCATTTCTAATGCAGAAAACCATACATATACATAACAGTCCTATATTCAAATTTTTATGTTAAGTGAATCAAATATCAATCCTGTTTACTCCTATTCCGAAGATAGCTAAATTCATGCAATTCATCTGCATGTGTTCTGTCAATACATGTGGTACTAGTGCACAAAAAGCAACTGAAGCATCCATAAGCACTATACTCTCTCAGCCAGTCAGGCCATTTTCCTCTTACCTCTGCAAGTGGGAGGTGCACATTCACGCAACAAATGTAAAAAAATAACTTATGAACGTGAACGAGAAGGGCTGCAGGAAGTGATCAGATTTGCACCACTCATCTTGGTGAGATGGAATCAGAGAGACCCATCCCTGCTGACACTAGCCATTCTTACAGTAGTAGTCTACCAACACACAAGCAGTCCACAGTAGAACACTGCAGACAGCAGGGCATTTGGAGCCTACTCAGCCCCAAGTTCCCAGAACAGGAACTGAGACTGGGAAGAAGGTCAGTGCAGCGTACTCAGCGAATGGATAAACATAATCATCATTTCACAAGGCTGCAAGCCCAGGTACTAGTCAGAATATTATGGCAAACTGCTACCTTAGTTAGATCATGTCAAGGGATCTTAGCTATCTGGACAATTATCAAAAAATTGCAAAAGAGTCCACTTCCCTCCTTTTAGATCCCTAGAAAAAGGATCTTCGATGGCTTACTAGGAAATAGGTGCTGGACCCAGTAAGAAGGTACCTGTGGCCAACCTGAACATATAGATCCCCAGGATGGGGGTACAAACTCCCACAAGTGTCCTCTGACTTCCACAGATGTCCACACAAACTGAAAAGTTAAAAAAACGGGATGGTATGCGTTGGCAATGAAATCACTTTTGGAAAGTTAGACCATACAGAAAAATTTCTCAATTTATGTATTACTGAAGTAAGTTCACCACAAGATGTCTGCCCTGTAGTTAGTACCCTCCTGATTACAAAAATTAATATCCAGCACTCTGAAAACAGAGGCAGGCAGATCTCTATGAGTTTGAGGTCAGCCTTCTCTCAAAGCAGTTCCCGGACAGCCAGGGCTGTTATACAGCCCCGGAGAAACTCAAAAACACAAGGTATCAACAAGATTGTAACCACACTACATTTTAGAACACTTGACTAACTTATGACATTCACGTTTGTAACACAACATAATGTCCAAACAGAATAATTTTTTTAAAAGTATGTGTGTGCTACTAGTCCACTAGGCAGCCTATGCTGACCAATACCCTGATCCTGAAGGTGAAGCTTCTGAATAGTGTTAGGATTGCGAGCACTGTCTTTCAGGGACAAGGTTTTTTGAGTGCAGTAGCAAGGGAACCTCAGCACTGACAACACAGCTGTAATATTGTAACGCTAAACTAAAGGCAAACTTGAAGAAGCCCGCCAAAGGGCTTCTTTGATAAAGTTCCTGATAATATCTGGAAAAGGCTTCAAACATTCACCAATCCAAGTTGAATGTAGCATGTTATTTCCCTTCACAATCCATTAACCATAGATCTAAACCCTTGCAGTACTGGCAAACTTCACCCCACCCTTGACACCATTTTAGAAAGCTGACTTAACCTCATGATTTTCAACTAAGGGTAAATTTGCTCAGTGCCAAAGGACATCTGACAATGTTTACAGATAAGAGAGGCGGCCACTGTCATCTCCAGTCAAACTGTCAGCTATGAACTATGAAAAAGACAGGCTCCCAAAACAATTTGACAGAGAGTCCGAGTTAAAATGAAGGTTCTAGATCAGATGCCAGTCACTTATAAAATCTCGTCAAATAAGCACTTGGATCATACTTAATCCAAACCCAGAACATCAACTAAAAGCTGGCAGGCTACTTCACACAGCAAAAACTTGAATACATCATAACCGGCTGAATTGCTCACAAATGGGACACTAAGATACTATGTGCCAGTTGCTGATCCAGAACTAAGGCGTAGGCAGCTTTGAGAAGCCACACTTCCTGAGTCCTATGACTGCAACGCAAAACTTCACTGCACAAAACTGATAAATTTAGATTAGTTACAGTACTGGTCAAAGTTCAAGGCTAACCACCACAGTTAACACAAGTGAAACAGCAGCAGCAGGTGGGGGAGCACAGGTGTCCTTTCATTAAGTCCACATAACCAATCCTCTAAGACAAAGTTCCAGTCAAATTATTATAGGCACTAAGGATTGGATTCAGGGCACTGCACATGTTATGATAGACAAGTTACACTGGTACATTCCCAGCCCTCTAAGAAGGAGAATCCCTAAAAATGGCAAAAAAGGCTCAACTTTCTGTTTTCAGAGTTTTCTTGTTCTTGAGACAGTCTCGCTATAACCCCATTATCTACCAGAATGGTCTCCAGAGATCCTCTGGCCTCTGCCTCCAAAACGCTGGAATTAAAGGGATATACCCTTTCAGAGTTTTTTTTTTTTTTTTTGGAGATGTGTCACCAGCTAGTCCAGGCTGGCCTTAAAGCGAGCCTTCTGCCCCAGCAAGCTGGAATTTCAGGCTAGGAACACCACTTCCATCTAGTCAAAAAAATCTTAAGCTTTTCAAAATCGAAGAACTATCCAGGGACAATCTCAACACCCCAACACAATGCTGTTGTACCTATCTACCCTAAATTAGATGGACCCCACCACAATGAATCTGGTATGTTAAGTACTTACTGACTTTCAGTAATTGGAAGCCTGACAAAAAAGGTGCAAGGCACTTAGGCATAGAGGTTGAGTCCCAGGGTTCATTTCTCACCAACATCCCCGCAATTCTAATTATTAGTTTAATTCCAGGGACTAGTCACTAGATCAACTTCAAGAATTACACCTTCGTGGAAATGACAAGCTAAATTAGAGCATTTAAGTAAAATTGTAAAATATATTAGTTGACAAATTTGTCCAACTTGGACTCCAGTTCCCTCTTGACACTTGCCAAATTTCCTTCGGGTAACTTCTGCCATCCAGACCAGATCTGCCAGCCTAGTACAGGTCAGATAACAAAAACGAAACCACGTGCTATATAAGCAGTAATTTCCCTCTATTTCTCTAACTCAAACGAGAAGGAAGCAAAAGCTATGTAATTCTCTCCACTGTAGGTATGTATCCGCACGCATTAGACCCTTAATCACCTCCAATTTTGCTGGATCAGGGTGACAGCAAACTCATTTTAAAACTATATTTATATAGGAATTAATATAGAGGCGATCAAGTCTTCTTACATAGCTCATTCCACTCCAAGTTACAAGGGCACAGGTATCAGAAAACAAGAAAAAAAAATGCCATCAAAATCCCACCCAGTACCTATTATAAACGCTAGGGGAGAGAAAAGTCGCTAATTCTTCTAGAGTAAAAGAAATAAAACATCACGTACAAAGTTCTATTTCAATACAGTCCCTTGTTTCAACAGCACCGTTGTTGGAACAATCCAACTGGTTTTCCAGACTGGTATTTACTTACTATAAGAAAGTTTGTCCATTCAAATACTTAAAAAAAATCCAATAGAGGCATTCTTAAAATGTTAAGAGCTCCTAATAGCTCTTTAGATTCCTTTTAAACTCGTGTTGAAAAAACTATACTGACGACTCTGCACACAAAATTGTGACTCATAACTTACTTGTGCAAAATTCAAATTTAGAGGACCAATAAAGTGGGATCTTTAATTGCCTACATAGTAACCTCCGTTTATTGCACCCGACTTTAAGATATTTGCAGCCCGTGGCTTAATTAACACACAGGATTTACTAAAAGTTACAACTCCCACAAGGACACAAATAGCTTTTTTAAGTTGCAAGAAACATGCTACAGAGTCTTGATGGAATTTTCCCACTCGCTTAAACGAAAAGGCCGTTTTCTTAAAACGGAGTAGGAATCGCCAGCGAGCCTCCGATTCGCTTTCAATGACCAAGGAGTTGAGTTTCAGGAATCTTGAAACACGCTCCTAAGGAAAGGGCTCCTCCAGGTTATCAGCCGCACTCAAAAGACTGGCAGAGCGCCTGTCAAGAATCGGGGTCCCACCTGGCCAGAGGATGAGGGTGCAGAGACCCCCACATGAAAACACTTATAAAGGAAATGGGGTGGAAGGGAGCTCCGAGTCTTGCAAGAGCTTCCCTTGCGAGGACCGCCCGAAACCCCGAGAAGGAACAGGCAGCCCAGGAAGGCCGGCGGGACCACCGGCCCTAGGGAGGTAGCAAAGCAGGGAGGATCTCACCTTGCTGCGGTCCTCATCCTGCTGCTCCAGTAACTCGGGAACCGCGGCCATGGCGACGCGGGCCTCGAGCAGGGGCTGTCTGGCTGTGCGAGGAAAGAAGAGGCTGGGCCGCCGCCGGGGCGCCTTTCAGGGGCGGCCGCGGCCCCGCCTCCGCCGGCCTCCTTGCCGGACGGCGGCTGGAGGCCGCTGGACTCCGCCACCATCCCAGCAGCCCCGGGCGTGGGCCAGCGGCACGCCACGTGCTCCCCCAGAGCGGCCTCCCCCGTCCCCGCCGCCGTCCATCTTGGAGCCGGGCAAAGAAGCAACGCGGGGGCCTACCCTCGCTCCGCGCCACGCGGACACCGGCACCGCAAGGCCGGGACGGGGACGCGGGATCCGAGCCCTCTCCCGGAGAGGCGCGCATCGAGAAGGAGCGCGCGAGGCGGCCCGGGGAATTTATTGCTCAGCCAGGGTCCAAGATGGCGACAGACGGTGACGTACGCAAGATCTCGTGAGGGCGAAAACGCGAGGCTTGGAGGCGCCCGCGCTTAGGCTTCGCGGGAGGAGGAACGGGGGAGGCCTGAGCGCCGCAGTGCATGCTGGGGCCGCCACTCTCTCGGGAAAGCGCGGGACCGATGAAAGTACGGGTCCCGGGAGGTTGACTGCACTCTGGGCTCAGGAACGTGGTGGTGTCTCAGGTACAAGCGGAACCCTGCAATAGGCTGAGCGTCTGTCCAAAGAGTCTCTTCCCTGTGCACGAGGGGCTGCAGTTGGCCGGTCCCTGCCAAGGGAGACGCCTGCACAGGTCGTTTTCTGGAATTACGTTGTTGGGCCCCACCTGAGACGAGTGATCTGCAGGGACTCCTGTGCCGAATCTGTACCACGGGGTCACGATAGCATCTATGTTAAAGGGTGTGCAGAGTACCTGGGAAATGCCCACACGGAGTGTTTAGTAAACAGTTTGGTGTATAGGCGGCGGGGTTTAACTGTTAAAGATTTGTGAATTTGGTTTTGAGGTGTGTATATGTGCGCGCGCGTGTGTGTGTGTGTGGTAGGCAGAGGTGTTTTGTTTGGGGGGGTGTGTGTGGTTGGGGTGGGTTGTTTTCAGAGACAAAGCCAAGCTATAACCCCAAACTCAACCATCATCCTGTGTCATCCTCATGAGTGATGAGTATCCTGGCCAGTGCCACTCAGCCTTGTCACAGTACTTCACATTAAGGATTTAGGGTGTTGGTGAGATGGTTAAGAGCAATGGCTGCCCTTCAGAAGTCCTGAGTTCAATTCCCAGCAACCACATGGTGGCTCACAACCATCTATAATGAGATCTCTATATCAGCATACCCTCTTCTGGCATGCAGGCAGAACACTGTATATACATAATAAATAAATCTTTAAAAAAAAAAAAAAGATTTAGGGTATTTTGTCCCGGACGGCTGACACGGTGACATTTAACTAATGTAGAGTTTGTTCTTGTGTAACTTTTTGCTTTGATGATTTGAATATATAAAACATGTTCAATCGGGCTGGAGAGATGGCTTAGTGGTTAAGAGCACTGCCTGCTCTTCCAAGGGTCCTGAGTTCAATTCCCGGCAACCACATGGTGGCTCACAACCATCTGTAATGAGGTCTGGTGTCCTCTTCTGGCCTGCAGACATACACACAGACAGAATATTGTATACATAATAAAAATAAATAAATATTTAAAAAAAGCATGTTCAATCTAACACCACTTTTGTTTTCTGAAAGATAAGGTACAGCAAGCTTTGAAACATGACAGACTAGAGAAAGCGAAGGGGAAAAGTCTAAACATGAAGCCACTTCTGACCATCTGCAGGCTGCTTAGACATTTCAACGGATTTTCTGTAAAACCAAGCCCTCTTGTGAGTTTCTCCACTTCCTCTTATTTGTGCCGCCAGAAGAAAAAAAACCCGTATGAAACAGTAGACCAAGGAAAGTACTCCCGTTTAGTGCGGTCTGTCTTGTTCAAAGGCCCGGCCCAGACCCCAGAGTCATTGTTCAAGGAAGATGATGTTCTCTTCGGTCCTGTATGTAAGCACAAGGCTCCAGAGCAGCCGGCGAGAGTTCCAGAGACCTGGTTTCCTATCTTCAATGAAGAGAGAAGTGGGAAACCACATCCCAGGGCTTCTTCGGGTCCCTTGAAGATCCCTTTGCAAAGACACGAGACACCCAGTGTGACACGCATCCTTCAGCAGACCATGACACCCGAACAGAGCTTCTTTCTGGAGAGGTGGAAACAGCGGATGATTCTGGAGCTGGGAGAAGACGGATTCGCAGAATATACTTCAAGTAATTCTCTCATTTCTGGTTTTGTCTGGTCTCTGGTTTCTCGGATATAGAGCATTCCTGTCCAAAAAAATGAGGCTTAAAAAGCAACTACTGAAGCACTCCTTTCAGATAGCATTTCCTGGCTCAGGATCCCCAAGGCCACGTTTTCAGCACAAAGGAGATTGATTTGCCCCATAGGGACAGATGGCAGGAAATAAGAGATAAACACAGAAGATGGGGGGGGGGGGACACGACACAGGACAGACAGGACAAGGAAAAGGGGGCAGGGATATTTATCCAGGAGGGACAAAGGACTGCCTCTGGATAGAGAGGAGACAGATGTGGCACATAGGAAAGCGCTTGTTAATAAAAGTACAAGGGGAAACGGTGTGTTAGGATAAGGTGTTTAATTTTCATTGGGCATGTTAATTCGGCAAGCCAGAGGGGGCTTCTGATTGCTGGACTTCAGTACTTTGATAGCTGAACTTTGGTTCAGTCACAAGAGGGGGAAGTGGCCAAATAAGGGAACAGACCTTGGTGGCTAGCTTTAGGAAAGTAATCTAATGGTTTTTAGCAAGACGGAGGGAATGGGGAGAAGGGCAAGGCCTGCCAGAGCCACATGTTCACTATGCCTGAGCTATCCGGAGTCCCTTCAGTGTCTGCTAACTACTTAGTCCTCCTGTCAGATGCTACTGTTTTTACAGAAAAGGATGAGACAGATCAAGTAACTGACAAACTGCATAAAGTGCATCTGAGTTGTAAACAACTATCAGTTATTTTTCATCTCCTGACAAAAGTCTAGGTTTTTTTCTTGGCTCAGAATCTAATTATTACCCATTGTTCTACTTACTATCGCCAGCTGACCAGTAAGTTTAAAGACTGGCCACAGTTCAGAACACACGATCCCCACTTGCATTTTGACTAATTGAACTAATCAAATGTTCTTGACTAAAAACTAGTTAAGTAAACTTTAGCCTTCAACTTCCTTATTTTTGAACATTTTACTAGTTCTTTGAGACTTTTGTGCAATGTGTTTTGAGCAGCCTTTGACACTTAGAAGACAAGTGAGGGTAGCTCCCTTTAAGCAGGTCCTTTTTCAGCCAGGCAGGGAAGAACACACCTTTAATCCCAGCTCTGTGGTGGTAGAGGCAGGCAGATACAGACCTCTGTGATTCAGCCTGGTCTACAAGTGAGTTCCAGAGCTATATAGTAAGATCCTGTCTTGAAATAAACAAAGCATTCTTTTTAAAAATAGGCTTTTGAGCCAGACATGGCGGTGCGTGCCTGTCTGGAGACTAAAGGAAGATCACATGTTCAGGCCAGTCTGGACTACATAAGGAGGCCCTGGTGGTGGAGGAGCTGGGAGTTGGAGCAAACCATCGGCATGGGAGAATGAGCTCGTTTCATAAGGATTACATAGATGTTTAGGTTAAAACCGGAGCTTACATAGACGTTCCTTAGCCTTTGTTTCCCCAGGAATATATGTACCCCTAGTGACATGAGCACTTTTAAGATTATTGTCCTTATTTTTAGGTATCTTGGGAAGAAAATACCAGAATAGTGTACGCATATAATTACGTAGGTGGTACCTGGATGTGGCAAACGTGACTGAGGCTCTCTTATATAACAATCTCCAGCTATGAAGGGCAAGGATTATATACCGGGAGTGCTTCTTAATGACTAATGGAAACCACTAAGCTGTAAGCAAACAAAATGAAAATCTCGTAATAACATCTTAAGTTTTTTATTTGTGCCACTAGAATTTAGAGTTGATAGTTTCCTAATGATAAATTGTTTTGATTTTCCTTAAACTAAGAATGTTTTCATTGTCAGGAACCCTAAAATTATTGATAACAAATGTAAAGGTGGCATAAGCAAGAAGGCTCCACAGGTGAGAAGGCACCTGCTGCCAAGCCTGACGACTCGAACTGCATCCAGCAAGTTATCCTCTGCCCTCCACACAGGAGTGCTCGCATACACACACACCACTAAATTAATTAGTATTTTTAAAAAATGAAAGAAAACTGCCAGGTCATATAGGCAGGCCTTGACATAGAGTAAAGAAACACACTGGTGTGAGTGAGGGAACCCAGACCCAGAAAGACAATTACCACATGTACTCACTCATAAGTGGTTTTTAAACATAAAGCAAAGAAAGTTAGCCCACAAATCACAATCCCAGAGAACCTAGATAGACAGACATAGATCTAATCTACATGGGAAGCAGTAAAAGACAAGATCTCCTGAGTAAATTGGGAGCATGGGGACCATGGGAGAGGGTTGAAAGGGGAGGGAGCAGAGAAAATGTATAGCTCAATAAAAGAAAAAAAAAAAGGCCAAACAGGGCTCATCTCTGTAGGTACAGATTGGTTTCTATTTTATTGGGGGGAACACATGGTGTTTGGTAGACATGATGTAAGAACTAGTCTGTGGAGGAATAAAAATGTTGTGGCCAAATTAAAAAGAGATGGACTGGTGACCTGCTTGGTAAAGGAGAAGTCTTCTGTTTGGAGCCGAATGAACTCACCGTCCTAGCGGACAATTTCCTAGTCAGCTTTAGACTAAGGCTCTGCTGTGTTTCTCCGCTAATACGAACTTTAAGCAATGAGCAAATTTACTTTCAAGTAGAGTAATCATATGTGGGTTCATGCAATAGTAGAAGAAAGGAAGCTGACCGTATTCTTGATCCTCCTGCCTCCTCCCGAGTGCAGGGATCACTGGCACACACCGTGCCCAGCCAACCTATTTTTAAATGTTTTTAAATTTTATAAGTTGAATCACGTTTCACATTTTCTGAGCCTAAAATTCATGGGCTCCTGAGATCTAGATGTTCACGGTTACATATTTGTGAAGAATCTAGCCAGGATAGGTCTGTAGCTGGGAGTTGCCTGTTTGTGTGGCAATGAATGAAGTAATTTATTATTATTTGATAGCGCTGGTGGTTAAACTCATGACCTCCTGTAGGCTACTTAACAACCCCTCCTGTTTTTAACAAGTGGTGTGTAAGCTGACACTGCATCTCTTTAAATGTTAATTCCATCAGGATTAAATTCCTTGTAGGCCTTTCACAAGCAGACCATTTCAGCTGGGCTGAAAACTGTGGAGTAGTTTACCTCCTAAACTGAATTCCGTTTAACTCTCCGAGTCATTTCCCAGAAGCACTTTCAGTTTTTGCTTATGTAGAACTGACCTTTCAGAGTCTTTGTGAACTTGACATAGTATGGCTTACTGTGACCCCATGTGGATGAGATTGTTTCCTCTTTCTGTGGGTCTGTCTGCAAGCATGTGTCTATGTGCATCTAAATCATGCCCCATAGGCTGGAGAGATGGCTCAGAGGTTAAGAGCACTGGCTGCTCTTCCAGAGGTCCTGAGTTCAATTCCCAGCAACCATATGATGGCTCATAACCATCCGTAATAAGATCTGGTGCCCTCTTCTGGCCTGCAGGCAGACATACAGACAGAACACTATATATATAAAATAAATCTTTAAAAATAAATAAATCATGCCCCCTGGACTTAGCTCCTAGCTCTGCCAGGAAGATACTTATGCCAGGGTACTCTTGCTTTGGGTAAGCTAACAGGATAGTCTAGGTTAGTTGAGGAGCCACAGTCATTATCTTGCTCAGTTACATAAAAATTAAGTAATGTTTGAAAGCACCACCCACTGCCTAGCCTAAGAGTGCACCCACCCTCTTGCTCCTTTACCCTCGATCAAGTGACAATATAGCATTCTTGCGTTTATTAAATATGTTTGTGTTTCCTTTTCTTAAAAGGATATAAGGAAGGCTAGGGAGATGCTTAGCTGTGCCTGCTAGACAAACATGGCTACTGTAGTCTTTATCAGGGCTCCATTAAGGCCTACTAAGCTATTTCCTTCTGCTTAGAAGTATGCGATCTCCCTCTACCCTGAGTGGAGACCTAAGATTACAACCTACCCAAAACAAGAATTTATCCACTTGGAAGGGTCAGTCAGCCTAAGGGACCACTCTTCAGGAAGGTATATTCACCCAAAACTATGCTAGGAGATGGGGAGGGATAATTATCCCCTTAATGAAATAATGTACTTTTCCTTCCTAGAAGCTCACGGTCTCCATGCAATCGCCATTGAGCTACAAGTAGCTCTGTTAGATCTGCCACCTTTATGAATCCTGGCTCAAAATTACAAATTTTCCCCTTTTTCTTCATGTGTGTGTGTGTCTGTGTGTCTGTCTGTCTGTGTGTCTGTCTGTCTGTCTGTCTGTCTTTTGGACTAACCAGAACCTATGTATGCTTTTTCTGGTACTTTTGGCTTTTTCACTCTTTCCACATGGCTGCTTGCAGACCTCCATGGTTATCTCAGAAAGGAATGGCAGTCCCTTTTCTTCTTCATCTCCATCCTCTGGGCAGCTTGGGTGCTGGAGAGATGCTCAGTGTTTGAGAGAACTTGCTGCTCTCCCAGAGAACCCAGGTTAGATTCTCAACACTCACAACCACCTGGAACTCCAATCCCAGGAGTCCCAATGCCCCCTTTTCTGGCTTCCATGGCAACAGGCACATACATGTCGTATACAGACATACATTTAGATAAAACACTCTTATACATTAAAAAGAAATTTACAGCTTATTGACCCTGTGGGTTTTCTTTTAAACACTTTAAAAATAATTTTTGAAGATAAGTCAGACATGGTGGCAGGCAGATGGATCTCTGTGAAGTCACAAACAGCCTGGTCTACATAGTCTCGGGCATGGGAGGGTGGGGTGAAAGTGCATTCTTAAGTTTTACGGGAAACTGAATTTTGCTGAGCATAGCTGTATAGACCACATGTGACGCTTACGTAAGAAGACCGCACACTGAAGGCCAGCCTGTAGTACCAACAAGACCCTACAAAAACAAAGGATGAAATTTTGTGTCGAAGGGGTTGCCGTTTAAAGATAACTTGTTTATAATGTATATAGTTTAAATCTTGCTTTGGTTTGGTTTCGGTTGGTTCAGTTTTTATTTTCCCTTGATTTTTCTCTTTAGATACCTTTCTACAAGGCAGAAAGTTCCATGAAGCCTTGGAAAGCATACTCTCCCCGCAGGAGAACTTAGAAGGGAGAGAAGAACTCCTCCAGTCTGGCTATATCAAAAGCGTCCAGCATATTTTGAAAGAAATCAGTGGTGTGCAAGCCCTGGAAAGCGCTGTTCAGCACGAGGCCCTGAAGTATGTAGGGATGCTGGACTGTGTGGCTGAGTACCAGTAAGTACAACAGCGTCTATCACAGTGGGTGGTGCAGTGATGTCCACGGGCAGGCGTCTCTTAACCCGCTTCTAGATGTGCCTGAGGAATTGTGACCTCCACCTTTTTTTTTTTTAAATATTTATTTATTTATTTATTTATTTATTTATTTATTATGTATACAATATTCTGTCTGTATGCCCACAGGCCAGAGGAGGGCACCAGACCCCATTACAGATGGTTGTGAGCCACCATGTGGTTGCTGGGAATTGAACTCAGAACCTCTGGAAGAGCAGGCAATGCTCTTAACCTCTGAGCCATCTCTCCAGCCCCGACCTCCACCTTTTTTAAAGTAAAAAAGAAGTGGGAATAGGGCAGGAGGTGGGAGAAATAGAGCAGGGAAAACACTATGATGCCAATATAAAAATCAGAGTGGTGGGGAAAGTGTGTTTTTCAATAGCCCCAGGATGGCCTGACTTCCAGCCTGTCCCTTCTCCCTTCTCTCCAAGAAATATGCCAGCAGCAAGACTTCGCTGTTCCTGCATGCTCTTTTCTGTTTTCCTCTTTAATCAGTGTTATTTTCTTCTGCTCCCCCCCCCCCTTTTTCCTGTTTTCCCAAAAATTGTACAGTGATCTCTTGGCCCGGAACATCAGCTCTCTTCCTGGCTTCCAGACAGTGGCTGATATGATAAGGATTCTGAACCCACTACGGTTTCTAAGTCGTGGCTGTTATTGTTTTTCCCCAGTCATCCCGATTCCAAGGCTGGCTGTTTTCTACAGATACCCCATTCCAAATAAAGCATGTGAGCAATAACAGGATGTGGGGGAAGAGTGTAGAATCTGTGTGTGTGAGACATTTGAACCTCTGAATAACTGGCTGTCCTAGAACTTGCTTTGTAGACCAGGCTGGCCTCGAACTCACAGAGATCCACCTGTCTCTGCCTCCCAAGTGCTGGGATTAAAGGCGTGAGTCACCATGCCCAGTTTCTAAATTTAACTTTTTACATGCCCCATGTAACTGACATCATTTCTGCCCCTGATTATTTCATTTAGTATACTGTCTATTTATCCATCCATCCATGCTATTCCAAGGGACAGAATTTCTCTGTTTGTTGTTTCTTCTCCTCCTCCTCCTCTTCCTCCTCCTCCTCTTTCTCCTCCTCCTCCTCCTTCTTTTTGGTTTTATTTCAGACAGGGTCTCACCACGTAGTCTTAACTGACCTAGAACTCACTATATGCCAGCCTCTGCCTCCTGAATGCTAGGACTAAAGGCGCAGGCCACCAAGCCTGGCCCTACACTCTAATCTTCTGAATGTCTACAGTTAGTGGGTATTGTATCATATCAGAATGGATGGGGTGAAGAAGTGTTTGTCTGCATATAAACCTTTAGGCAAGGATCCAGATCTCCTCTCTTTTATGTCTATATATTATAGGTTCCCACAGATTGAACCTCAGCTTTTATTTTAAAGTGCCATAATGTGTAATCAGTCCATAATGAGTTCCTTACTACTGATATATTGTGCTTCAAAAAAAATTTAACTAAGACCATGATGTAGCTGTAATTTTAGTTCCTGCCAGCTGTTAAAGTAAAGGAATCCAAGAAAATCCCAAGGAATAAAGAATTATTATTTGGGGGCTGGAGAGATGGCTCAGAGGTTAAGAGCATTGCCTGCTCTTCCAAAGGTCCTGAGTTCAATTCCCAGCAACCACATGGTGGCTCACAACCATCTGTAATGGGGTCTGGTGCCCTCTTCTGGCCTGCAGGCATACACACAGACAGAATATTGTATGCATAATAAATAAATTTTTAAAAAAAAGAATTATTATTTGAACTTGAAAAATGTGCTTCCTAATCCTGAGTGCTTTGTGTATAATAGAATTCCCTGTTGTTGAAACTGTCTAGCCCATCCATTCTGGTTTTCCCCCTGAAGGCGTGAACTCACTCAATAGCCCAGGCTGGCTTTGAACTCGTGACTATCCTCCTGCCTCCACATCACATTTGCTAGAATTCTAGGTATAAAGACCATGTCTGTTGTGCTCTTCTAACCCTAAGAAATAAAGTCTATTTTGGAAAATGGAGGATAGAAGCACCAGTCATTAAGGAACCAAAATTAAAGTACATAACAGACAAAAGAGAAGAGTTAACTTAGTGGAGTTTTTTCTGCTTCCGGGGATTTTGTTTTGTTTTGTTTCAAGATAGGGTTTCTCTGTGTATCCCTGGCTGTCCTGGAACTCACTTTGTAGACCATGCCGGCCTCGAATTCACAGACATCCTCCTGAGTGCTGGGATTAAAGGCATGCACCTTCACCACCTGGCTTCAGGGGATTTTAAAATTACATTTAAATTATCTATTTGTGTGTGTGTGTGTGTGTGTGTGTGTGTGTGTGTGTGTGTGTATTCATGTGTGCACTCCCACACCATGGTGCACATGTGGGGTTTGCTCTCCTACCATGCTCCTCCGAGGCATTGAACTTGGGTTGTGAGACTTGGCAGCAGGCACCTTACCCCCGGAGCCATCTTGCTGGCCTGAGGTTTTCAATTTGAACTGTTACTTACAAAGATTTCCTCTGGATTCTCCTTAGAGGCAAGCTGTGTCTGATTGATTGGAAGACATCAGAGAAACCAAAGCCTTTTATTCACAATACGTATGATAACCCACTACAGGTCGTGGCGTACATGGGTGCTGTAAACCATGATGCTCACTACAGCTTTCAGGTCAGAACCTTAGCTCCTGCTTGATAAGCTTGTGTGTGTGTGCATGAGTATGTGTGTGCGTGCGTGAGTATGTGCGTGCGTGTGTGTGTGTGTGTGTGTGTGTGTATGTGTTGGGATTCACTCTTTATAACACTACTGACTGTTCCTTAGGGTTCTCTCATCTACAGAGCACTTCCCCTTCTCGGGCTGTTTCCCACCCCCACTCTTGCTTAATGAGCACAGTCCATTCTTGAGTCTCTCATCTGCCCTCTGTGTTCCCTGCATCCTGGTGCAATCTTTAACCAGCTCATCTTGGAAACTGGTTTGGAGCTACTACCTAGATGCTTAACATTGGATGGTTCGCCCTGGAACAAGAGGAGCTAGTGGAGCTGTGCTGTGTTTCTTTCTAGGTTCGGTGTGGCTTAATTGTGGTGGCCTATAAAGACGGGTCCCCTGCCCACCGTCATTTCATGGATGAAGAGCTCTGTTCCAAGTATTGGGCCAAGTGGCTTCTTCGACTAGAAGAATATACAGAAAAACAAAAGAATCAGAGTATTCCGAAGCCGGACTAGAGGCCAGGATATGACTTGGGAACATTGGGCGAATCTGAGAGTTACGTTAACACAAACTGAAGATGTAATTTGTTGGGACGTATTGCTAGTGAGAAGTCAGCACTGACCCAGCTGTACTACCTCTGTTATGTACCCAGAAGAGGGCACACAGGATTGACACTCACCTTGGTGACTTCTGGACTCACTTGCAGATCTTTTTGTGTCCCTGGCAGGATGCCCAGTCTTTGGATTGAGATCAGAAGGCAGTGAAGCTTCATGTGCCAAGCATGCCCCTAGGGCTCTCAGGGAGGGGGTGAGGGTCCCAACCACCAGGGTGTGAAGAGGGAGAGCCATCAGCCTGGCTGCCTAGAAAGCTAGCACACTCACCACAGCATGGGCCAGAACCTTTCTATACCAGTGGAGCCCAGCAGTGGTCACCACTGTTAGGGTGTAGTATCTGTTTCTGGTGTCAGTCAGCAGGCCATATACTAGAAAAACACTGTTGTGGGATTTTTCAGCTAAGAGCAACACTGATATAATCCTTTTTTTTTTTCTGTGTTTGGTAGATAATCATTGGTTGTTCTTGGAATTGAGAAAGATAAATGTCATTATTTCCTTGGGAGAGGAAAAAAAGAGTAATAAAGTGGTTTTGTTTGGTTTTATTTAAATGCGTATTTGTGGGGTAATTTCATGGGCCTGAAAATTGTTTTAACTTTATTTATTTATATTTTTTGTGGTGCTGGAACCAAACTCCTGGTGTGTGCTGGGCATATGCCCTACTGTCAAGCTTTGCACTTTACTTTTAAGTCCACAATTTTCCCACCAGCCCCTAGCTTACTGAGTTCTATATAAATGCGTAAAGAAGATGTCCTAAATGAGCTCTCAGCATAGTTAATCTGACAAAGTAAGATGTAGATAGAGAAGTGAGTTAGGTTCACTAGAAGAACTGAACCAAGAAAATAAAAAAGATTTACTGGGTTGACATAAACTATAGGGCTGGGTAGTCCAACAGTGGTGATCCATGCCAGAAGGCAGAGAATACAGTAGATGCTCACTCCAAAAAGCTGGATGCCTTAGCCGTTCCTGTCAGAGCTGAAAGTCTCAAAGCTCCCTGTAGAGTTCCTGTGTTGAGCCATGTTTGAAGGCTGACCTGGAAAATGCTAATGTTGGGACAGGTACTGTGATCACAGCTCCAGGCAGGCTTCCTTCTTTACAGACTCAACTCGTCCACAGTTGATACTCCTATGACATCAGTTCAAACCTCAGTCTGATGAAAAGGAAATGCACATTTTAAAGATTGTTTTAAATTTTTTATTTATCTGTATTAGTATATGTCTGTGTGAGTGTGTGCATAGGCCAAAAGAGGACATCAGATCCCTTGACCTGGAGTTACTGGCAGCTGTGAGATGCCAGCCAGAGGCGCTGGGGGCTAAACTCTGACCCTCTGAAAGCAGAAAGCATTTAACTGCTGTCATCTTTCCAGCCCCAAAACACACATTTTTAAAAAAAAATGGGGAGAGCCGGGCAGTGGTGGCACATATCTTTAATCCCAGCACTCGGGAGGCAGAGGCAGGCGGATCTTTGTGAGTTCGAGACCAGCCTGGTCTACAAGAGCTAGTTCCAGGACAGGCTCCAAAGCTACAGAGAAACAAAACAAAACAGGGAGGGGTGTTAAATAGAGTGCCTGATGGCTAGGAGGAGTCAGCATCTGCTCTTCAAGAGAACCCACGCCTGGTTCCCAGCATCCACACAGCAGCTCACAATAGCCTAACTCCAGTTTCAGGGACTCTGACACACTCTCTGGCCTCTGAGGGCACCTGTACTCACATCTGTATACCCACACACACGGGCATTATTTTTTTTAACCTTAAAAAGAAAAACTAGACATGGTGTCACATGTATACAGTCCTGATGCTCTGAAGGCTGAGGCAGGAAGACATCTTGAACCCAAAAGCTGAGGGCCAGCATGGAAAAACAGAATCTCAAGAAATGATCACTATTGGGCTGGAGAGATGGCTCAGTGGTTAAGAGCATTGCCTGCCCTTCCAAAGGTCCTGAGTTCAATTCCCAGCAACCACATGGTGGCTCACAACCATCTGTAATAAGGTCTGGTGCCCTCTTCTGGCCTTCGGCATACACACAGATAGACTATTGTATACATAATAATAAATAAATGATCACTATTAAAGGCGTAGAACAATAAGGTCAAACTTGAGTAACGATATTACTCAATTTTTTAATGCCCCCTTTCCCCCTAAATGGTATATATATTCAGTGAGATAGGTTTTGTATATTAAAGTTTTATTTTATTTTGAGGCGGGGTCTGGCCTCACTGCTTAGCCAGCCTAGTCTTGCCTTGAACATTCTATGTCGCTGTACCTAGTTGAGCCACGGCAATCCTCCTGTTTCTGCTTTGGGGGCTGAGATTACAGGTGAGCACTAATCACACTTTACTGAAGGCTTTAAAGAACATTCACCCGTTTATAGCATGCGTTGTGTGGTGTCTGTGCAGTGCACACATAGACATAAAGGACACCTTCGTGGAGTTGGTTCTTCCACCACCTGGGTCCTGGGAAATTTTTTTCTCTTTTTGAAAACTTGATTTTATGGAGCTGGAGAGATGGCACTTGCTGCTCTTCCAGAGACCCAGGTTTTATTTCCTGGACCCCACATGGTGGTTCACAGGCATCTGTCACTCCAGTCCCAGGGGATCTGGATGCCCTCTTCTGACCTCTACAGGCACCAAGCACACATGCGGTGCACATACATACATGCAGGCCAACACACATAAAAAAGAATCTAATAACATTTTTAAAGATTTTGTGTGTTTTGAGTCCAGAGGAGGACATCAGATATCCTGGGTCTGAAGTTATAGGTGGTTGGAAACCCAGTGTTGGTTCTAGGAGCTGAACATGGGTCCTCCACAAGAATAGCAAGTACTCCTAACTACGGAGCCATCTCTCCATTCCCGTTCTGGGAATCCTTAACTCAGCTCGTCTGACTTGATAGCAAGTGTCTTTGCTCACTGAGCCATCTTGACTTCCTTACAGAAATATAAGATTTGGAAGTTCTTAGCTTTTGAGACAAAGCTCAGTATATTCTCTTTTCCAATATAATTCAGGGCTGGTGATATAGCTCCATAGTGGAACATTTACCCAGCATGTACAAGGGTTTGGGTTTAGCCCCAGTACTGCAGAAACAACCTGATGTAACTACTCATTCGTTGCTTTAGAATGGCAGAGACACTGACAATAAAAAACAATTCCAATTTGACCCCAAATTACTTTCCTCCCCTTCAGACCTGACCCCTTCATTGTAGCCATTAGCCTGGGATGATCTGAGAACATTAACCTCTAAGAGCCTATTTTTAAGTTATAGGGAAACTTGTCAACATGTGACCCTGTGGTTTTATGTGTTGACCTTGGCAAATACAGGAAGAGGGTTGGCTAGCGAGACCATGTTTCTAGGTAACCAATTTGCCTACCGGCTTTAAGAGGCGCTAGAAGGGGGTAATTTGTACTAATCACTGCAGCTTTCCACCTGAGCAATTAACATTTGATTACAACTTCGCCTGCCTTTCCCCAGATCCAGAAGAGTGAAGCAAGGGAGTAGCCAAACGTCTATTTTTAAAGAAACACTTAACATGTTTGGAGCTGGTACCTAGAGGAAACCATTCTAAAGCAATCAACCCTAAGTATAGGGCAGAACTGACTTCCTTCTGCCCCCACCCCCACGAGTCTGATAAATATAAAACAACATTCCGGTTTGGGGTTTGAGGTTCTCCCATTTTGCTTAAGAGCTATAAAAAGATGAGAAATATAAAGAACACTAACAGATGAGTCCACTGTCTCCCTGATCCCATTCCCCTCCTCAGAGAGACAAACATCAGCATGTTTGGATCTTTCTAATGTATACCTTTATAGATTTAGGACATGGGCTGGTCTCCAGGAATAAGGAAGTTTTGCCTTTTTTTAGTTTTTAGAATTTTTAAAAAAATCTTTTCTAGCCGGGCGATGGTGGCGCACGCCTTTAATCCCAGCACTCGGGAGGCAGAGGCAGGCGTATCTCTGTGAGTTCGAGACCAGCCTGGTCTACAGAGCTAGTTCCAGGACAGGCTCCAAAGCTACAGAGAAACCCTGTCTCAAAAAAAAAAAAAATCTTTTCTCAGTGCTAAGAATTAAACAAAGGCCTTTCATGTCCTGTATGAGTGCCATGCCCTGCCCTCGGCAATTAGTTCTCGAGATCTACCCAGGTTGACCACATGTGAATGTGCTGCACTTCATCATCGTCGTCGTCGTCGTCATCAACGTTAATATTACTATTTGAGATTTGAGATAAGGTCTCTATGTAGCCCCGCCTTTCCCGGAACTCATTTCATAGGCCAGGCTGGCCTTGGACTCACAGAGATCTGCCTGCCTGCCTCTGCCTCTCAAGTGCTGGGCTTACAGATGCGTGCCACAGCCAGCACTGGCATTAGTTTTAAGTACTCTGTGGCATTCCCTCATGATCACTGCCATGCTAATCAGTTATCAAGTTCACTTTTAACGGTGCCGGCAGCGCTCCAGGGAACACTTCTCACGTGCTGTCCAGTATGTGCAAAGCACGCGCTAGACAGTGCAATAGAGTATAGCTGTGACTCTCTCATTTACTAGCTCTGTAACTGTGGACAAGTAACCCAGGAACTTAGGAACATGTATAAATATGTATGTTACGTGTAAGCATAACATATATGTTATAGATAACATTTATATGTTCATGTAACAAAACTTAATGAAAAAAGAGTCCATGAATTTGAAAGAGAGCCAGGAGGGGTATACGGAAGGGTTTGGAGGAAGGGAAGGGAAGGAGGAAATGGTGTAAATATAACTCAAAAATAAAAGAAATAATTAAAATATTTCTCTTCCAAATGAAATTATCAATTTAAACACCCACAAGCAGCGTCTAGTTTTCTGACTTTTCCATATCCCCATCAACAGAAAAGTTGCAAGACTTTCCCCCAACCTGATAGGCTGGAAACAATCCATTTGAAATTCTATCCATAATTGCTTGCATTCAGAACAGGATTGCCATCTAGTGGTGCCAAATGGCACTGCAATTATGATGCAGGAGCCAGAACTGGGTAGACCTTCCGGTTTCTCTAGGGAATTGGGTGGACAATATAGGTCTGGTTTGATTTTATTTACCTGTTTTGTTTTGTTTAATTTGTTTGTCTCAGAGTTTCTCGAGCCATCTTCATACTACTGCTCGTCCTGCCTCAAACCCCTGTGTCTGCCACCGAGGACCAGCTCTCTGATTGGAACAAATGGACCAGGCGAGTTTTCCATCATCTGGTCTCTATTTTTTAAGCAGCTGTACTTCTCATTTTTCGACCACGGTGGTAGAATTTTCTCTCAGACGAGGGAAGCCCTGTCTGCAAACCCAGTCAGGCCTCTTTCAAATGAATGCATCTGGGTCACAGCTCAGACCGAGGGATAAATTAGGGATGAGGCCGGCTATTTACCAAACCAGCAGGGGACTGCAGCTCCCACCCACCAGGGGGGCTGCCATTGAGCACGACTAACCTGCAAATGGGAGGTGACCAGTAGGGCACAACTCAGAGCTGGCCGCGTTGCCGGAGAATCCTGGTTCACATCCTTCCAAATCAGCCCTAGCCTATCTGCTG